CATAGGGCATTTCTGGAATCCTTAGTCTGAGTTTGCCTCTGTTCAACTTGTTATTCCTTTCTCTGTAGCCTTTTAGAAATGCTGTTAGTTTATTATGATATCCCTGCTGTGCTTGCTGTATTATTTATTTATTTAGAAAATTTCTAGGCCGCCCCATTCGCCGAAGCCTCAGGGCGGCTTACAAATAAATAAATTAAAATACATAAATAACAATATAAATACACATAACTGTATAAAATAGGTCACTACTCTCCTACTATCAGCACATCATCTACTATTACCCAGATTTCTTCCAGATCTTCCAAGGGTTGCATCAGCCTGCTTTGAAATATCTCAGGGGCAAGGCATGCTTAGCTAGCAATATATCTCAAAGGGTGTGGCAAATCCTGTCAGATACTGTAACTGGTTACTTAATCCAGTTCAATCTGCCAGAATCTACTTTTGATATTGTACAAAGAGAATAGCCTTACTTTTGACAGATCTGGCAATCGATCTTCGATAGTGGGCAATGGAAAAAGTCATCTTCTCAATGTTTTATTGCTTTTTTAAGGGCTTTGGATCTATGAATATCCTTTCCCAGATGGTTTCTTTGGTGCTTGCATTTTCTGTCACTACTAGACTGCTTATCTATTCTGTACTTTTCTCTGCTGCTTGAATACTTATTTCCAGCTGTAGACTTTGCAGCTCTTTTCTCAAAAGCTATACTAAAGCCACTAGGACTTTCCTCTTGGGTAACTTAAATAGCTTCACATTTGTATCAGTACCTGGTTTATAAACTCCATCTACCTGTTCATCTTCCTCAAATACATCCCTTCTTGAATCCTTTCTTGACTGCAGCTTCCAGCTGAATATGAATTTTCTATCACTGTCAATAAGTTCTGAAATTGTATTTTTATCAGTTTCACAGCCTTGATCACCTTAAGGCCACTGCTTTATAGTTAGTGTCTAACAACCAAAAGCATTAGAGTGTATTTCATATTTGTCTTTGAGTTAGAAATGTAAAGTTAGTATTTTCCCACTTGTTTTGATGTAGCACAATTACACATTAAAAGCTGATTACTCTTTTCCAATGGAATATTGGGGTTTCTCTAGTTTTGCAGCTGGCACTGAAGGCTGATTGAAATGCTAATGCTTTATCTCCGAGGCACAAGCTTGCATAAAAATGTTTATGCTGCCCTCTTGGCTTTTCCTGCAGCATGTTTTCTGTTACCCACAGAATATCTTCACATTCACTCTCAGCATATTCATAGTGTGCACTCTAACTTTGGAGTTTTTCTCTTGTGATAAACATTGGGTGCATAGTGGTTCCCTGAGTCACAGTTGTAGTATTTCTTCTCACTAGCTCAGCAGTATTTTTTGCCTTTCCCCACAGTGCTTGCATTGCTGTATGGTGTTTGCTGTTGTCCATCCAGCTTCTCCTTTGTTATCTCCTGTATTGTATTCCCTAGTGCTTGGCTCTCATTAAACACATGTATATATCCACTGTTTCATTCTTTCTGGAGTTTCAGTGCAACCTATTATTGTAGCCAAAATCTACTGTGCTTAGGAATGTTTGCACTCAGTGTCTTGCTTATTTGTCTCCTTTTCTCCAATAAAATATAGAACCTGGTTTATTTTCAGCCCCCTCATTATTTGCCATTACAATGTCCATACAGAGGTTAAACAGAAATCTTTAAATATTTCCTATGCCATGTCTGGACTAAATTCTGAATATGTATGTTTGATATGTTTGGTGGCTTCAAGCTCTCAACTGTCACCCTCTTTCTATCTCACTTTTTTAAAAAACCCAATTGACAGCTTGTTCTGCTTCTTCTGTTTAGGTTCCAGTCACTGCTGTCATCATGTTTCAAAGTTGGTGATATGCACCTTATAGACATAATGCTTCATGAAGACAGTATTATTATTATTATTATTATGTATTACATTTCTTTACCTCCCGTAGCTGAAACATAACAAGCAATAAAATACAATACATAAAACATCAGTAAAATATTTGAAAAATAAAATAGCATGAAGATAGATTAAAATACATTGAATAAAAAGAAGAAGATCCAGCCAAGGAGGAGGGGAAAAAAGCACCTGAATAAACCCATCAGGCCCCTGGATGACCAGGGAGATCTTTAAATGCTTCCACAAAGAGGGCTGTTTTAATCTGCTGCCAAAAACAAAACAAATTTGGCACCAGCCGGGCCGGCTTTTCTAGGGTGTTCTCTAAAGTTATGGTCCTTCTCTCCTCAGGTCAGAAGCTGTGGGTATTGTATTGAACTCTATTGATTGATTGATTGATTGATTTTATTTTATTTCTATCTCACACCATTTGCCAAACAGCTCCCTGGGCAGGTTACAAATAAAATTATACAATCAGATAAATAACAATATACAATACATAAATAGGGTTACACCAATATAGCCTAACAAGTAAAACCACACCAATATTACACTTCACAGAAACCATACTAACGTAAAAGGCATAACCATGGTTAATGGTATTGGAAATTACTGAGATGTTCAGGAGAACCAACAGGTTTGCACTCCCCCTGTCTTTCTTTTGGCAAAGGTCATCCCACAGGGTGACCACAGCTGTCTTCATTCAAAGCCCAGTACTAAAGCTCAATTGAACTGGATCAAGATGGTCTGTTTCATCCAAGAGAACCTGGGGCTGACCAGCTAGCACCCACTCAAACACCTTGTCCAACAAGGTAATGTTTGCAACTGGTTTATAGTTGTTGATGTCCCCTTGGTCCAATTTGGCCTTCCTCAGGAGTGGTCAAATTACAACCTCTTTTAATGAGGCTGGAAACACTCCCTCACTTAATGAGGTCTTCACAGCCTCCTGGTCCCAGAGCACAACCCCTCCTTGCTTTGTGTGACCAGCCAAGATGGTCAAGCATACAGGTGGTAGGCCAGATCAACCTAGGGACCTTGTCCACATCCTTAGACCTCAGTAACTGGAACTCATCCAATAAACTCAGACCAGATGGTACACTGAATACCTCTGCTAAAGGAATTGCATTAACCATGGAGTCCAATATGATGAATCCAAGCAATTTTGCCCTCAAAGTGCTGTGCAAATTCCTTGCAACAGGCCACTTAGGGTTCCATAGTTTCTTTTACTGGGCCAGTTTGTATAGGGCCACGGACAGCTCTGCTGGACAGCACTGAGAGGAAGCAATGAAGATGGAAAAATGTGATCCCTTTGCTGCCCTCACTGCCATGGCATAGGCTTGATAATGAGCTATAAGCCATGTTCAGTTAGATTTATCTTCCTGTGCATTTCATCGTCCTCAGCTCCAGTGTATACCAGGGAGTTGTCTGGGCTCCACATAGGGAAAGAGGGTGCTTGGGTGTAATCATATCAACTGCCCAGACCATCTCTGTGTTTCACAGAGTTGACTGAGCTTCAACAGGAGAGCCAGGCATATCAGCCCAAGACAGCCCTAGAGCCCTCTTGAAACCATCTGGATCCACCAGTCTGTGTGGTTGGACCATCTTAATAGGTCACCCACCATTGCAGAGAGGAAAAGGGGTTGGAAGCCTAAACCTCAAAAGGAAGATCTGACCATGACAAAGGGGTTCACATTAACCTGTTTGACCTTCAAATCACCATCTCCCTGCCCAGTCCAGAAGACCAGCTCTAGAGTGTGACATTTTATGTGTGTTGGGCTGGTGACATTCTGGGACAGCATCATGATTGTCATGGAGGCCATAAAGGCCCGAACCACATTGAATAAAGCAGTCTCAGCATGGAGATTGAGGTGCCCCAGAACTTCCATTCTGAGAGTTCTCAACACTAGTTCTGAGACCAACTCCATCAGTTCAGGCAGGGAGACTGATGGGTGGCAAGGTGGGGGCTACCCCAGCAGAATCACTCATCTGTCTTGGAGGCCCAACGTAAGCTATAAACACTCAAGACAGGGAGATTGAATTCCTGAGGACCATGGCCATCCCCCTCCCAGAATGTTGGTGCTGAACGGAGTACCTGAGGGAGAGGACAACTGTGAGAGAGCTATTCCTTCCTCTTCCCTCACCCAGGTCTCTGTAATGCAAGCCAGGTTGGCCCCCTCAAATCATGGTGAGGGAGGCCTTATTTTGGACTGACCTGGCGTTCAGCAACAGCACCAACAAGCCCAAGGGCAGGCTGGTAAGGCTGCCATGAATCGATTGGTCTGGAGAGTAGCCAGAAGAGGAGATAGCAGTCAGATGTCTAACTCCTCTTCTCCTTTGTTGGCATGCCATTCTCCCAGTGCCGTACTTCATCCTATCTGTGGCCCCATAGTTGGGGCACCCCATTGTTCCCCAGAGTTCTCCAATAACATAATTAAAACAATGTGGTTATGCTAAAAGGTTCTGCCAAAAGGCACAGCTTCTACCTGCTAAAGTGCCCAAAAAGCTCTCAAAGAAGGAGCGCATCCCCACCCTGGCCTGATGCCAAATGGGTGTCAAACTATCTCCTGGTCCCTCTCAGGAAGCACAATTAATTCAGGCTGAATCTAATAGTTCTTTTCTATGGTTACACAGGGGATCTTGGGGCTTTCCTTCTAACTATTTAGCCCAAAGTCTTACTTCCAGATGGGAGGGGAAAATGAAATCAGTAGAAGTTGCTGTGTTCCATCTGCTAGCAGGCAACCAGTTCACAAAGTGTCGCTGGGATTGCCAGCCTCCCTGCACACTTATTGCAGAAAATAGACTGCACATATTGTACTTCTCATGTGGCCAACTGGACTAAGAGGAAGCAGCCTGGACTGAACTGGAAGCAAAGAACCTGACTGTGTATTCTCCCATATGTTATCTGTTGGAATATGTCTTAAGAATGATCTGTGTATTTTGGAAAGTTTGCTGGAAGCAAACTACGTAAGTAGTATGTTCCCTGATTGTAAAAATCCAGTTTTGATTTTACTTATGAGTTTTCATTAGCACGGTGGAAGTAAGATATACAAGATGACATAATATATTACTCTTTTCTACCTCCTTCCCACCCTTCTGTATGTTTCTGCTTCAAGGTTCGCTTCTCATATATGCGGATGAAGTGTCTCTTCTTCTCTTGGCTAGGAGTATTTATTGGCAGCTGGATTTTTTATGTTCAGTACTCATCTTACAAAGAACTCTGCAGAGGACATGACTGCAAGAAAATAATAGTAAGTATAATCAGTGCTTTTTAATAATTTGTCAGTACTTGCTATATGTTGCCTTTAGTAATCTTTTATACATTGGTGTGTTAGAAACAATTATTCATTTTAAACAGTATTTTTGCAGGTGGTCCTTATGTGTGCCTTAAGCTCAGGCAAAAGCTTTGAATCCAATGGGACTTCCTTCTTAGTATGCACAGGGTTGCAACCTTAACCATAGACCAAGTTCACACAACAAGCAATACCATACAGTTTTCTCCAGGCCTGTTGTGTCTGTGTCTGTGTGTGAGAGAGAGAATGTACCTGAAAAACAATCAGGCTCAGCATGGTAACCCTCCTCCTGTCCACCATTTCCCCCTCTCTATCCTGCAGGTGCTATCTCAAGAGAAACTGAGGAGGAATGAGGCTTCTCATTTTGGTAGCTGCGATTGTGAGCCAAGCTGTCAAGCAACCTCTGCTGCACAAATGGGGCTCACGCCCTGAAGGACAGCAGAGAGGACAAAGTCCCAGTCAGGCACCCTCCTGCCATACCAGGAGGGGCCGCTCAAGCAGGAGGGGTGCCCAATCCATATTCAGGCAAAAGAGGGGGAAATCCACCAAGCAGTGTTGTGGAAGAGAGCATCACTGCTCCATGAATTCCCCTCTGGCACATGCTAGCAGCAATGAGGGGGAGTCAGCACTGGTCCCCCCTTTCTTACTCTTGATTGCAAAAGAAGTGTTCATGGGCACCACGCTGGGGACACCCCTTCAGCAAGCCAGAGCATGAAAAGGAGTGGTAGGGAGGTCCACTGCAGTATGCAGCTACGAACAGGGCACTGCCACCCAGCCACTGCTCACCCTCGCCACTGCTCTGTCTGCAAGCATGAGGCGTTTGCTCTAGTGCATGCAAAGCGGTAGCATGGGGAATCTGCTGTAGTGCACAGCTCCAGACCAGGCACCGCTGCCACTGCCGGGTTATTTCTCACCCTGCTGTTCATCCAAGAGGGACACAGACCACTGTTTCTGTTTGTGGTTTCTCAAAACCACACACACCACACAGAAATGTTATGACAGGGTTCAGATGACATAGCAAATCAAAAAGGTAAAAAGCCACAGTTGCTTGTTCTGTTGTGTGAAATCACCCACAATATTAAATAGTTCTTACAGTAAAGATTAGTGCAGACTAGTGTTCTGTTTTCTCCCTAACAGAACTGTTAGACCATGTCCAGTGAGTGACTGTGAAATGAAACTTTTATCTTCAGACTTCTTGGTTTGACATATCTCTGTAAGCTGAAAAATGTTGTGAAATAGGTGCAACTGGCATGAGCGTAGCCCATTTTGATAAGGGACAACTATTTTTCCTGTATTTTGCTATCACACCTGTGTAAAAAAGGTTATTTCAGGAATGGTTCTTGAATGTGTCATGAGAAACAATCTAAAAAATATCCTGCACACTTACTAGTTTGTTATATTATTATTAACCTTGGTTCATTGGAAGAGAAGGAAATGGTTAAGATTCAGCTTGGGAATTGTGTGCTAAAATAGGGGAATGAGGGAAAAAGTAGACTTGAATAACTAAATGGATTAAAGGGTTTTGAATGAAAGGACTAAGATGTGTGGGTCCATGGTGAAGTGAGTAACTTGATCTTATGGAGTAGGAACACATGTATGAATAGGCAGAAGTAAAAGTATTCATGCAGAGAGAGGAGAATACTCATTCCCCTCTACTCTGCATTAGTCAGACCTCACCCAGAATATAGTGTTCAGTTTTGGGCACCCACGTTTTAAAAAGATGCTGATAATCTGGAGAGCGTTCAGAGGAGGGCAACAAAGATGATACAGGTCCTGGAAAATATGAGAGGCTGAAAGAACAGGGCTTGTTCAGTCTTGTGAAAATAAATGAGGTGACAAGATAGTACTCTATAGGTACCTTAAAGGTTGTCACAAAGAAGAAGGAAAAGACCTATTCTCACTCATCCCAGATTGTAGGACACAGAACAATGAACTTAAACTACAGTACACCAGGAGCAGGGTAGATACAAGGAAGAATGTCCTAACTGTAAGAGTAAGACCACAGTGGAACAGTTGCCAAGAGAGGTTGTGTGCTCTCCTACACTAGAGACATTCAAGAAGAAACTAGACAGTTAAGTGGGATGGTGTAACTGGCTTCCTGCACCGACAGGGGATTGGACTCAGTGGCCTTTTTGGCCCTTGTGATACTACTATTCTATGGTTCTATGAAAAGCTGCCAGCAAAGGATATTGAAGCATATGATAGCATTAAGTGGACTGGCGCTGGTGCTCGGATTAGACTGAGTCAAGGACTGATAGGGATTGAACCGTGATCTCCATGTGTTCAGAAGGACCTGCAATTCCTATTCACATACCAAAGCTCTTGAAAGTAACATACATATTTGCAGTCTATTTATCTTTGTATAAAATAAGTTTTTAGGACTGGATATAAGTTTAAGCATATGACATAAATCAGTGAGTTTGATTTCAGTGGAAAATGTAATTTTCAGGTTGTGGTCTTCTTTGCCATTTTTCAGTGTGATAAATACAAGACAGGAGTTATTGATGGATCAGCATGTAGCAGCCTATGTACACGACAAACTCTTTATTTTGGAAAATGTTTGTCAAGCAAACCCAGCAATCAGGTATGACTGCTCTATATTTTTATCTGGTTCAGAAAACACATTGTTATAATACTGGTAATTGAGCAACTTCTGTGTAATTTATTTCTTTAAAAGACTTTTAAATAAAAATAGATGAAAACATATTAAAAATCTTCATGTGATAAACTGCCTCATGACTTTTACAATTTTGGAGACTGCAACATGACCTCTGAAAACTATGGACACTTGGGGTGGGAGTGGGACTATAATTGGGATAGAGGAATTAGCCTGCTTTAGCTCCTTGTAGAGCTAAAGAGACCATTAGTATTGGGAAAGAATGTCATGGGGCTTTAAAAGACCTATGCAATGTTTTATAGAAAAGCTTAAGGATAGAAAAAAAGAAGTTACTTTTTCCCTTTCCTGTTCTCCAGAAACTTCACATCCCACCTAACAATTTAGAAACAAAGTACTTAATCTTGAGAATTACAGCCAGGCACAAATCAGGCCCTTCAGTATTGCATAGCACAGTGGAAAATTATTTTAGAAATGTGGGAAGAGCAAAAGGGCTGCTTTTCATTTTCCTTTCTTGAAACTCTCTTCTTGCCACTGCTAAGTGCCAGAAAGAAAGACAAAGGTAACTACCTTCTTAAGGCTTGCTGAAAGTCAGAATGTAGTACTTATTTGAACTTGGGGTAAACCACAATATTTCTGTTGTTCTTATCAGTTTTCACAATCAAAATAAGCTTATTCTAACATCTAAGTCTGCTCTTATTCAGTTATCTTATAAAAATGAATAGGTTTTCAGATATAACTTAATTGCCCATGCTAATTTACAGGAATGTTGAGATTTTAAACTTCTATAGACTGTCATTTCAGAAAATCACAACACATTCTTAATCTAAAATGCTTTTCACCATTTCACATTAATGCAGAAATTTATACACTATAGTTAGCCCATTGCTAACAATATCAAGGCTAGCAATAAAGATTTTTTTAAATATAGCAAAAGAAAGAAAACAACTAAGGAAGCATTTGTGCCATTGGATGATAAGTGAGGATGAAGAGATTGCAGAGAAGCTGAATGATTGCAGAGAAACAGCAGAGAATGAAGAGCAGAAATCTGTCCCTGAGTTTATGTGTTCTGAAAGGGAACCTGAGGAATTAGGGCAGATAGTAGTGACAAAAGATGAAATTTTCAAGGCTACTGACAAAGTGGAAGTCAGCAAGTCACTTTGTCCAGATGATATCCATCCTAGCATTGAATTGCTGACCTTCTCACCAAAATATTGAACAAGTCTCCAAAATTAACCCTTTATTTATTTATTTAGAATATTTATATGCCGTCCTTTCGCAAAAGCCTCAGGACGGCTTACATAAATAAATAAGAATAATAATATAAAACATAATACAAATAAATTCCAGATCCACCCTGGCTGTAGATTAAAACATATATAGCCAATATTAAAAGTTATTAAAATATTGTTGGAATAAAAAGGTCTTAGCCTGGTGCCGGGAAACAAATAACGATGGCGCCAGGCGGACCTCTCTGGGGAGCGCATTCCATAGGCAGAGCGCCACCACAGAGAAAGCCCTCCTCCGGGTACTTTGCCTCCTAATATCTTTCCTGGAGAGTTCCCGGAGGAGGGCCTCTGCTGCCGATCTCGGGGTGGGAGGGCAAATATGGAAGAAGGCGTTCCTTTAGGTATCCAGGTCCCAAGCCGTTCAGGGCTTTATAGGTAATAACCAGCACTTTGAATTGAGCCCTGACTTCGATGGGAAGCCAGTGAAGCTGGTAGAGGACTGGGGTTATATGAGAATAACGCCCATTCCCCATCAGCAACCTGGCTGCTCTGTTTTGCACCATCTGAAGTATCCTGACTGTCTTCAAGGGCAGCCCCATGTAGAGCGCATTACAGAAATCCAACCGAGAAGTAACCAATGCATGTGTCACTGTCACTAGGCAATTGTCCTCCAGGTAGGGACGCAGCTGATGGATTAACCAAAGCTGAAGGAAAGCGCTCCTCACCACCGCAGTCACCTGAGCTTTGAGGGACAGCTCTGGGTCGAGGAGCACTCCCAAGCTGCAGACCCTGTCCTTTAGAGGGAGTGCAACCCCATTCAGGGCAAGGTCCAAGTCACCTACCCAGGAACTCGAACCACCCACCAACAGGACCTCCGTCTTGTCTGGACTGAGTTTCAGTTTATCGGCCCTCATCCAGCCCATTACCTCGACCAGGCACCGGTTCAGTACAGCCACTGCCTCACCTGGATCGGTTGAAAAAGAGAGGTAGAGCTGGGTATCATCAGTGTACTGATGATCCCGCAGCCCAGACCTCCTGATGACCTCTCCCAGCGGTTTCATGTAGATATTGAATAGCAAGGGGGACAAAATGGACCCCTGCGGGACTCCATGGCATAGCTGCCATGGCGCAGAACCAAAGTCCCCCAGCACCACCTTCTGGAATCAGCCGTCGAGGTAGGAGCGGAACCACTGCCAAGCAGTGCCTCCTACTCCCAGTCCCACTAGCCTACCCAGAAGGATACCATGGTCGATGGTATCGAAAGCCACTGAGAGGTCCAGGAGGACCAACAGGAACACACTCCCCCGTCTCTCTCCCTGCACAGGTCATCATACAGGGCGACCAAGGCAGATTCAGTACCATACCCGGGTCTGAAGCTGGACTGAAATGGGTCCAGATAATCAGTTTCATCCAAGCACTCTTGGATGAAACTGATTATCTGGA